CCCCCATGAATAACCTGAACCAGGCGAACGTCACGAATATCCATGCCTGACATGTCGCGCAGGTTGCCATGCGGAGTGTTGGCAACGGTCATGGGCAGGCTAAAGTTGTAGAGCTGATTGACATCAAACATGCCATCTCCAGGTGTCCAGTCAGGCGATGGTGTAAGCCAGGCTTTCTGAGGGCGAACCGGTAGAGCCGCAGGAGGTCCAGGTGGCGGTGTAGGTTGCGGAGTAGTGACCGGTGGTGGCATCACGGGTGGCATGAACTTCGTTGGCGTGGGGTCTGGAGGGATCGGCATCATGTAGTTGATCGCTGGGTGCTGGAATGGCTGTGTGGGGCTGTGAGTCGATTGAAAATTGGTGGGCATCATCGGGAAATTGTTGGCAGAGTTGTAGCCGGAATTGTGTTGCCAAGACACCAGGTTGTTCCAATCCATGCCTTCCGAGACGTGGTGGTCATTGTGTTCACGTCGGTGTGCTTTACGAGCCTGAGGAGAAGTACTCCGATCACGTCTGCGCCGAGTCCTGGATCTATCACGATCATCACGTCGAGACATGGGTACACGATCGACTCTCAATCTTCACGCTTCCATCTTGAGAGACACGTATCAGACAACAAGCAAATCCATGCAACAGCAAGGTATCAACGAATCCAACAAATGGCAAGCAAACAACTAGGGTGAGACGTCTCTATGATCTGACCGCTGTCTTCCCTTTAGTGAGACCTCGTTCCTGGTTAAATGTGAAATTCCGCTGTTCTATGATAAGCACGTTGAGGTCAAATTTTCCGACAGAGCCGGCCCGGGGTCACACAATGGGTACACCCGAGGATTCCCCACGAATGGGGTGTACACACTTAAACTCCAGATGGAGAGTGCTAATCTTTCGAGTACAACTGATGAGTTTCGAGTACAACTGATGAGTCTCGAGTACAACTGATGAGTCTCGAGTGGGTGAAGGTTCGGCTTGCAGTCACTTGGTTTCCGTCTAGCTGCGAAACCGTTACAAAGTTCAACATGAAGCACACACAGCGAGAAAACCAACGGGCCAAGAGGACTTTGAATCACACGAGTTGCGCAGGTACGCGGAGTTGATCAGACTCCGTATCCTAGGAGCTTGCAAAGAGCTTCGTTGGGCAGAGCTTTGCAAGTCCTCTCTGCCCCCCTGCTGAGAAACCGAAAGGGTGGTGACAGGGCATTCTGTCACTCCGCACACACACACAAATGACCTCACACAAGGGAACGAACGGGGATACCAAGAAACACAACCTCAGCTTGTTTCCCGCGTTTCATGTGCTCAAGTTGCAGCAAGGTTTCTGAGAGGTTTGGGGGAGCTGTCCTGACTCCTGATACAGTCATTACATTAGGTGGCCCTATGAAACAAGCCAGTGAGTACGGCACGGAACTGAACCAACCCAGTTACATCCCTCATCAGTCATTTCCGAAGGGCGGTAGGCCAATAGGGATGTCTTTGCTTTCAGAAACTGGCACGGGATCCGAATGATGGATGCGGGCCTGGCTCATTCTTTGAAAGGAGCTCTTTCATTCAGGTCATGGCCCAGCCCAGAATTTGTTGCAGCCCGACGACCAGCAACTAGCAGAATCGGCGGAACCCAACAAACAACAAAAGGCACCCATTGACTAAATTCGCATCTAAACACAGCGAAGCGTTGGTTGGGGCTGGAAGGTGCTTGCTGTCACTTCAAGGGGCCTCAAGACCCCTTTGGCGGCCCATCTGCCTGCGCCTGCTGCAGCATCCTGGGGGCCTCACGGGAGCGAGCAAAACGCGGCGTGCTTGTTGGCAGAGGCCACGTGTGCACATTTTGAGCGGCTCCAAAACTCCGGGTGAAGGTTTTAAATCGAACCTGCAATTTCTCCAGAATTAGAGCTTCTAGCTTGGAGGATGTGACAGTCTCGGACCTAGCACCCGGCCAAGGGCATTCCTGGCTCAAAACGCTATGAGCTTTTCAAAGTCTACAGTTGCAGGATTGTCTCAAAATATCGGGGCCTCCAAAATGGTGGTTTCACTTTGGCTCACCTTTTAAACAAACCCCCTAGGAAGGGTTCATGGTACACCATGTAGCCAACAAGGTGCGTCTGGATTCCCTGTCAGGGCAGGCTACATCATTTGCTTCAACTTGGCCTATGTACCTATGTTCCCGGCTTTACCGTTCTGGTGTACCTGGAAGATCCATCAAAGGATGGCCACGTTTCGAAAAGCCAAACTTGGAATTTCGCCTCTTGAAGGCCCTTTTACCCCTGGAGGTCGCAATGTGCAACATGGCAAGCGGTCGTTTTGCTTGCTCCATCCCCGCCCAATGTCTCCAGAATAAATACTTTGGGTTGGGGCGATGGGGAAGAAAGGCAGTTGTCACCGCCGCGATTTCAATTGTAGATCCTTGCTTGGACGTCAGATACATTTGGAGTTGTGTCCGTCAAACCATTGTGGAGGGTATGTTCCATTCAAGCCTATACCTTTCTGGGGTTGCAAAGGCGGTTTATTCTGCATGTTTTCTGTGAAAGGCGGGTTTTTGCCAGGAGTAGTTTTGTCCAAGCTCAGCTGATATCATTGAACAATTCGGGCGCGGCACGTGCTCAGGACCAAAGTGTGCAAAGACTTGACCTCCGTTCCCACAAAACAAGCGGAGGGATTATCAAAGACAGGCTGAAACACATAGATTCACCGGTGTCAAAATTCACGGCAGAAAACGTGCTTTCACGCTGGAAAACAGGCTTTCACGCCAATTTCACGGTATTTTCACGGTACTTTCACGCTACTTTTGCGTACATAACGGACCGCTATGTTCACACCAAAGCTGTTGTGTCAAGACATGTTGGGGTGGAACTGGCTTTGTACAATCTAAACGTGGCAACAGCATCAAATACCACGCCATGGCTCACTGCAGGCGCAAAAAACAGGCTTTAGCTGCAAAAAACAGGCGAGGTGCAAAGGACGTTCAAAAAACAGTCGTGGATTTCCAGGGCCCCTATTCCCCAGGGAAGCAACTTATGATAGTTGCGCCGCACCTTTTGAACCATTGAGGGAACAGTTGGAAGACTAATTGAAAGCGGGTCGAACAGTTGCAGTAAGGCATTCGTTATATGCGCAGGGTTTGAAGGAGACCCCATCACCTTTCAGTTGCCAAGCTTCCCGGTTGTTCCTATGGTTGGGAGGTTGGGAATGGTTGGGATCAAAGGGACACCAACTTGGAAGCTATCCATAGGGGTCTTCGCAAACCAGTGGGAAAACGCCCTGAGTGCAGTGCCAGGTCTGCACCTCGGTTCAAGGCTCGGGTTTGGGGCTTGCGATCGGAACTGGGACGTGGCATTGGGCGCTTTTTCCTCCCTGCTTATCCCAGACCGGTGGCGCCATCTTCCCTTTGTCTGAGGGGTTCCCCCTAAAACCAGCTACCCAAAACAAAGGTGCCCGTGCTTCGTCTCGGCCACTAGGGTCACACTGCACGTTGGTTCCTTTCGACAGCACGGTCTCGGAACTTTTCCGGGGGAGCTGTCTATCCGTAACAATTTGCCGGGATTGCTCAGCTGCAAATTCCAAGTTTCCAAGAATCTTGATATTTAAGTAACGGAATATCATTTTGGGGGACCCCCTTTTCAAGTTCCAGGTCGGATCATGTTCACCCCGACAGCCCCTGTGAAATACGATCTCACTTGCTCGAATCAAAGAGGACTAGTGGTCTGTTCACTTAGCGCCTGAACATCTACAACAAGTCGGAAACCCTTTTTGGTCAGTGGCCTCAGGATACAACCCCTTCATGCCATGATGTCAGGGATGAGTAGGTTTCCCTGCCCTTTTCCGCCCCGGCCCCCGAAAAGGTGAAGCACCGCTGTCACCTTTACTGCCTCAAAGACAGGTCTCGACAGGGTCGCTTTCAGGTTGCATTGGCAAACACATTACACAAGGTCCATGGCAAAATAAATGGTGCAAGTTAAGCTCACCCACATCACCCACTAATCAACATGTAACCTGAACACAGGTGCCCAGCAAACCATTTTCTGCTCGAAAAACTGTTTGTTGGGTTCCATGATGTTCCATGTTGATGGGTTGGGGAGGGCACCCATGAGTGAACAAAACAGCACACATGCAAGCGACGCCTCTGTAAGAAAGCTTCTTCTGACAGCAGGCTCCCAAAGCGAAATGCATCTTCCCCTATTTTTGCTTAAGCTGCTCCACTCCATGCCTTTCTGCAGAGTCAGTGGCAAGTGAAAAGACACCCCCCCGTTTCCATCCTTTCCGAACCCTTGTTTCCCGAAATCGGCAAGCGACAAGCACGGCCTTTTAAGAGATACATAGCTCCACTCTCGCTGGTGCCTTCAACGGCTCTCATGTGGCTGCCACGGCAGATGGAAAGACTCCACCTACACATCCAGCTGCAGACAGGCTAACAGGCTAACCGTCTTCAGCAAAGAAGGCAGTGCCCTTTGGCCAAGCCCTGAACTGATGGTTGATGCGGATGAAGCTACTGTCGCAGCTCTAAGCCCCACCTAAAAGAACAAATGTTTAGACTCTGGCACATGATTAGTATCAAACAAGATCCCAGACTGGGGAGGGCCAAAGAGAAATCCGCAAAGTCAAGAATCTAACGTGAAGACGTGGCTAAGCTTACGAAAGGCAAAAGTATGATAAACACTCTTAGGGCCTTGACTCAAATACATCAGATACCATCCATCCTGTGCGCCTCTAAACAAGATTGACATCTGGCATACAGAAGGCATGTTTAGTCAGTTTGCTAATGCAAAAAGGGCTCTGGGCTTGGGTCGGTTGTGCGTGCACTCCAGATTTGCCAACTTGGCAAACGGCGATTGGTAGTCGCCAACCCCCCTTCAATAAATACCCCTTATATACAAATTGTGATTGGTTGGTATGGCTACCCCTGTCTATCATACCATCAAAGGCAGCTGGGCATTATGGACAGATACAGGTACAACTGCCGTTGGAACTTTGCATTGAACTGATTAGTTAGTCTTGGAGACCGTCAGCAGCATGACTTTCTGGCCGTTTACTTACCAACTGGAGCTCCGGGGAAACTACCAAGCGATCCGCGCTCAGAGGTCGCCCCGGGGCGTGAGCCAGTTGATCTTGTGCTCTGGGGCCTGCGGCAATGATCAGACCCCGTTGCTCAGCGGCTTTTTTTGTCTAATGAGGCCTTCAGGTTCTTTTTGGGGAACTGGGGGGAGGGGGCAAGCTGGAACAAAAGAAATCACCACCTGCTCGCTAAATCAAATTTACTACTGCACCCAGCGAAGAGCATATGCTACTTGTTTTGACGAACCAGCGCATGTCTAGGAATGAACCAAGCCACAGGAACACATTTGACTTCTGATCAAACAAAGGGGCAGCGTGGATACGACATGTGGATGGTGCTGTTCAACTTTGGAGCACGTACGAGCTGGGAAGAAGGCGTGTTTGTGGCGTTTCCGGTCCGCGTGCTACTTTAACACCACGGAAAACTAATCCTGGCAAACTCGTTTTACCCCCCAGGTGAGCTTGCCATGAAATAAGCAGACGGATCCGGTTGCGGTCACACCTCCAAGTAGAAAAGCTTCATGTCGATGCGGTACTGCCGGTGCTGCTGAGTGTAGACCTTTGCTAGATCCCCACTCATAAACAGATGCTTAAACACTTGGCCAACTAAAAAAAAACACTGCGGCCACATGTTGCCGACCCTGAAATATGAAAACATTGGAAAAACACAAGAAAAGGGTGAAATGGGGCAGGGGGCCTTTGTTAGGGCGAATTATGCCCTTTTCATACAGTTTGTTGAGGTGGGGCTGGTGGTTTCAACCACAAGCTGCGCAATCTAGAGCATAAACACTTGTGTTGCCGACGGCAAACCAGTCGAACCCCGCTAAACATGAACAGCAGCGCAAAAAACAACCAGCCAAAACACAAAAATATCACATTCCAGGATTGAATGCGGAAAAGGTCAGCTTGACAGCCATTCACCACTAAGTCTCTTAGACCCTCTCCCAGTCCATGGACAACACAAGTCCATGGTTGTTCGCGGAAGGCTTGTGTGCCAACTGTTAAGCAGTAAGACAGCCCGGCTCTTACAGGACAGCGAAGGTAGCATGAATTATGCGGCACCCACTGTTGAAACCACCAATCTTGCCATATGACCTGTTTTGTCATGACTACCTTTTTGCAGTACCGAATCAATTCATAGCCCAACCCCAAAGTATAAAACACAAGCATGTTCGGACACCGTTTCAGATTGAGCCAACCTTAAAATGCAATATATTGTCGCATGAGACTTGGGAAAGGAATGCTTCAGGAATCGAGGTGGGCGTCCACTTGTCGCAAGGAGCTCTTGTGAAAGCCTTGCTAGCCATACCTGGGATGGGATCGCGTGCGGGAGTGAACCTTAGAGGTTCCTTCGATTTCTGTTCGCGGTGCCTCCCTGGCAAGTACTCAAGCAGAGTTCATTGAAGGAAACATCCCAGAAAAAACTTGCCTTAGGTGATCTTTATGGCCCACTAACATTATTATCCTTTGACTGGCCGTTGTCCACTTCCGAACGATGCCCAAAGGTCGGGAGTCCCAGCGAAGCAGTTTTGATTCATAAGCCTTGAGGTGGCACCGTTTAAGGGAACATCAGAAGGAGGTTTACCCAGGTGCAGCCAGTGACCCTGGCAAAAGCGGGGACCCTTTTCGGGATTGACCAATTATATTTTGGAACCCAACACAGAAGAAAACAGGGCCCCACATAACAACTGGGAAAAACACTAGTGGATGTCCAAAACGTTTAGACCATGGGTTGGAACAGTCCCCCCCGTTCGCAATTCGCGGCCAAGAAATCAGCGGTTCACCAGGCAAAAACACGACGAGCTGCCCAGGCAAAGAAGAGGCCGACCCCGATGCCTCCCAAGAAGTCCCGGAAGTGATGCCTGGCACGTTGGGCATTTTACATGCCGTCCACTGCCAACAAGGAGACATATTTGTTTACAACCCAGACCTGCAGTTGCCATGGGGGTTGTTCTCCAAAAGGACAACGTCACTACCCAAGGGAAAATTGTGTGTACAACTAGGCAAACAGGTCACTTAGGGATCGCTCAAACGGTTCACTTAGGGATCACGGTCACTTAGGGATACACGCTCACTTGAGGATCACATTCACGGATCACTTAGGGATCACATTCATTGATGACGGGGGTGGGGAGGGGGGGGTTGGTATGATAAGCTCACCCGCTCAACTGCTGCAGACCAGCCTGCTCCTTTACCGGATTACAAAGTAACGTGGCTCTGGGGAGGGGTGGGGGGGGGGGATGATAAGCACACCCGCTCAACAGCTGCAGACCAGCCTGCTCCTTTACCGGATTGCAAAGTAACATGGCTCTGGGGAGGGGGAGGGGGGGGGGGGGATGATAAGCACACCCGCTCAACTGCTGCAGACCAGCCTGCTCCTTTACCGGATTGCAAAGTAACATGGCTCTGGGGAGGGGGTGGGGGGGGGGTTGGTATGATAAGCACACCCGCTCAACTGCTGCAGACCAGCCTGCTCCTTTACCGGATTACAAAGTAACATGGCTCTGGGGAGGGGGTGGGGGGGGGGTTGGTATGATAAGCACACCCGCCCAACTGCTGCAGACCAGCCTGCTCCTTTACCGGATTACAAAGTAACACGCACACGCACACGCACACACACACACACAGAGGCTCACACATGCAAACATACGCACGCCTACACACACGCACACACAGGCTCGCACATGCAAACATACGCACGCCTACGAACATGCGCCGCAGGGCCTACATGTCAACACGCATGCACACAACCACATACATGGACTCGCCAGCATACATAGTAACATACGTCATGAAACATACACGTCACATATGTCATGCGATATACACGCCAACAAGCACAAACAAGCGCATTCCTGCTCGCGCATGCGCGTATATAAACATACATCGCGAGGCAAACATATCAACACGCATGCATGCGCGACAAGCCTTCTGCAAAAAGCGATCCCGGAGCGATTTATTTGCGCGATCCCTAAGCGAACCATTCGCGCGACGCCTAAGCGACCCACTGCCCGTACAACTATCACATACATACTGTGGATTGCCTCTGAGAGACATGGCAAGTTGGCAAGGTGCTATTGAGATTTGGGTTGCGCCGTTGGCGTTGGCATGGCCCAAACCCCAATGATTGATGTAGACATTCAACCCCCTATAGGAAGCAGTGCATACTGCATACATATCAACCCAAGAACCAGAGGTCCAGCCCACTATGCCAAGTTGACAGCAATTGACCCGTGTTTGGGTCGACATCTCAATGAAAAGGGCAGCAAAACAACGCCACAAGCGAAAGAGGACCCGTCACCCCAAACAAGTCCTACAAAAACGAATGCTTGATGCAAACCCATTGGGCCTGGAAACAGGGGCTATTTCCTTTGACTTGGCTCTCAACACTTTGGGACCCCTGGTGGAGATGGGCATGCCCAGGGGAACTGTTTTTCCAGGTGCCAAAGCAGCTGAGTTGAACAGCTATCATGCAAACACCACGCGCCCCTTGCGCTTCAGGAAGAAGGAAGGGCATAGAAAGGCTACCCTTCACAGTTCCGTGGGCCAAGCAGCACAACCGATTGCCACCTGTTGAAATCCCGCTTCTTTTTCAACCAACGAGGCTGCTCCAGCCCCCCCCCCAAAAAAAAATCAAAAGCAAACAAAGCAAACTGGGAAAGCTCTCGTGGTTGGAAGCCCGGGCATTTGTTGAGGAAACATCCCTTCGGTGCACGCGGCCTCGAGATGTAATCTCCCAAGACTCGCTGACCTGAAGGCATCGCCCGTCTAAACCCTTTGCTATGACACACCGCAAGGGGAGGGGCGCGGGGGGGAGGGTTTCCCATTGCCTTCCCCAACAAAGCACCCTCAAACAGCGTACCCTCAAAAAAAGAAACCGCCATAATGGAGAGTCTCCCAAAATAGTGGTCCAAAACAGTTGGTTTTAGTCTGGCTTCCTTTTGAATACCAACCAAAGGGTGATCCAGCTTGAGAAACACCACTCTGTATACTGGGATGGGGAATCTGTTCCTGTACCTTTGCAGATTGGCTTATGGGGGCACCAAGAATAAACTCAAAACCCGTGTGGGTGAGGCCCAAATCGCATTTTGATACCTACACGGCCTACACGTATTGTTGCTAACCGTCATCATGTTGGTGCTAACTTTGATTCCCATGGGTTCCATGTGAGGTCAACTCTGTCCAGCAGATGGTTGATTTGGAGGGAATGCAACTAGGGGCTGAGCCCAGTGTTCCCATGTGTTGGGAAACCGTAAGCCCCCCCTCCCAACAGCCAGAACAAAAAACCACATGGAATACGCGACTTGAGTTGGGCCCATTCCCCAATAGTCCTTTACTAGAAAGGCTTTGACTGGACCACCCGAGGAGGGAACCATCCCCAATCCCTCTCCACTCAACCCGTACCCTCACCTTGGGACCAGAAATCATGGCTTGTGTTGCGAGATGGGGCAAATGATGTGCCTATGTGGCGGGGTTGATGTTTGGGGGGACCCTCCCCTGAAAAAATGGAAGCCGGGCACCACCGGACTGGGAAAGGTAACCCCCGGATGCCGAGTGGCGGAAGGAAAGCCAGGCGCCTTCCCACATTACCTCACCTGAGCGCTTCATCTCCTCACGAACACCGCCAGTAAGAACCTGGGGTTGACCGACCAACGAATACAGTTGAGGTCCAGTGGAGGCCCTAAATATTGCAAGTCAGAAACAAGTAGGCCCAACCAATTTACAAGAGCTTGCCATGAGTGGTTGAGTGTGGTATACTTGCAGGTTTAGGCCATGGGCCATCACCGTACCTTGCGAACAGCGCAGGCTTTTAGCAAGGGGAGACCCAACTTTCAAGATCCACAGCGGTTTCCAGGGGAGATCCTACGGACTTGCGGACTTCTGGAAAACAAAGAGGGACGGAGAGGGATGGGGGCTGGCATCCTCTGATAGGCAAACCTCACCTGCGTGCATCAAGTCTTACATGAGTTACATGTTAAGTTGAGGTACAAGAGGAACATTTGCTACGTGTTGTTGTCAGGGCGAGGGGCCATGTGTGAACCCACAGCGAACACCCAAATGCTTCCCTAGGCGCTACGCGTTTGTGAGCTCACAAGGTAAAACATGACGTGGTAAACAAGGCATGCCAAACACCATGTTTTTCCCTGACACCTGGAGATAAGTCATTCTCGCTACACTCTCATCTGCAAGTCAAAGTGTATGGCTGGAAACCGGCAAGGTAAGTCTGTAGAGATTTTCCCATACACGTCAGACTGATGTGTGGGGTCCCAAGAGTGGACCTACTTGCTAAATACTAAAGCGGCAAAGCACTCCTACAAATCATAGGGAAAATGACGGGTTATGCCGCAGAGTCCACGTTCGTCCACAGAAAGCTTCAAAGCTGACCAAAGCACTGTGGAAGCCCTGCTTAAGTTAAACCCCATGAGCAGAATTGAGGGCAAAATAGATGTGGTCGGTATACTGTGGGTACACCACAATGGTTTAGGCGAACATGTCCGAACCCGAAAAGGCTGTACGAACGTTTGCGAACCCAAAAAAGGCGTACAGTAAGGCACATGCACAACGTACAAGAAGCCAAAGCTTGCGAACCTTGCCAGCGTTGTGCAAACGCAAGGAGGTTAGGCGAACCCCTCGCGAACCCCAAGCAGGCTAGGCCAACCTGTGCGAACGCATTTCCACTGTTCCCATCAACTACTGGCTACATAGGTTTTGTCAGATTCATGATTAGCCAGCCAAAAATAATATCGATGGAAGCCCTTAAAAGCCATTCGGAGAATGTGCGAGCTAAGCATACCCGCGGGTTGCAACCACGGTTGCTAAAAGCGGGTTTGTTCCGTAGCGTTCGACTTCCGAACCGAATAGTGCTCCTCAGCGCTGCGGTACGGCATGGGGATCAAAGGGCGGTGAATCCTGAGCTTCCATCGCGGCTCACGCTCCATCAGGATTGAAGTTCTCGTAATGATACATCACAAGTGCATTGAAAGGATTGCTGCAGCAAACTGAAATGAGTGGAATCCACCTATGCTCAACCAAACAAACCTAAAGGAAATTCAGCAGTCGTGTGCAATGTCCACACTTTCTACTGGCACTGCCCCGACGCCATGCACTCCACAAACCGAAAGAATCACCCCACACAAGGTTCCGGGCCCTCGGCTGCCCCTACAAGGCAGAACTGCGCGGCTCACCATAAAAGAGGGGTAGTCTCAACCGAACTTTTAGGCACCAAAGACACTTATGAGCTTGTCTGGTGCGCAGACGTTTAGCATTCCACAGCAACATATTGGAGTGAGCAGCCAGAATTCGCTTTTCAGCAGCCAGAATTCGCAGGTTTCGGAAGACTGCCATGGTTGTTCACAAAAAGGCTCATCTCCTTGGAGCATTGGCCAAACCAAAATGGGCCAAGGTTGGCAACCAAAAGACCAACAGCTGAAACCGAAGTTGGTATGCGGTTCAGGCGCTTCAGGGGCTTGGCAAACTGGTAGAACATCTCCTCATAGTCGTCGAAGGTCAACTCTCCGTTAATGAGCTTGTCCAAATGCGGCCTCAGACGTCTACAGTTGTTGCCAAACTCCGAATCCTGAAGTAAGCGCTTCCCAGGTAAAGGAACCAATGATGGTGAGCTCGTTTTACCCAAGGTGAGCTTGCCACAAACAAGGGTTTACATCCTGACACTCCCTTCCTCCCTCTCTTTTCCGGAAAAGAAAGGGGTCACTCGGAAGAGTAGAGAACTTATTTTTAGCAGCCGTTTGTGTTCAATGAACAGCTTCGGTCAAAAGAACAAGCCTGCCTCAAGCTAGTCCAAATGGCTTCATGGAGGAAAAATCATCCTCCCAAAGCCGGTTTCCATCAGTGGGAACTCAAAGTCTCAATGCTTGATTCCTCCCAACGACACTCTCAGAAAAGAGACGAACTGCTCGATTTTGTTGATCCCTCGATTTGCTTTCTGAGTAGAGTGGCCAGAAGAAGTCCAAACCTTTTGTTTGCCGCAATTTCCTTAAGCGGTTTGAAGGGCAACAGCTTCAGGTAGAAGTAAACGCAATTAAGTGTCGACCCCAACCACATCCAAAACCAGAGAAACCAAGGACACTCACCTGCTAGCCATCAAGCACGGGACCTTCCCAAACATAGTACCAACAACCTTTATCCTACCCCAAGGATCCGCATTGCGGATTCCAAGTAAAAACTGTCGGCCCTGAACCTTGAGCCCCAACACGCATAAATAGGCTGCACATGGATCCGGGGACGTTGGCCTTCCTGAAAGGTGCCGTGCAGTTGGAACGTTTCCCAAACGGATGTTCAACACGGGGCAACGTACTGATGGACAAAATCCACCTCTCACCCCGCACCAGTTGGGATGGATGAGACCCAATGATAACTGTTTTTTGTGGACCAATCCACACTTGGGAGCCCTGCCATGGAAACCGGACATGGGTGCCGCGCTGGTGCGTCGCTGCCGGGCTGCTTAAGCTCAGGCGTATCATCCCCCAGCTTCTTCAAGAAGGGGTAGTACTGGGGCGGGATGTGATACCTCAGCGGGCTCAAGGACTTACTTGGCCCCGATTCAATCTCTGGCAAAACATGGCCATAGAAACATCATGGTTCTCTGGCTGGTGCTTGGAACCCTCCGATGGTGAAATGGCCCCCCTGCACGAAAGCTGGCACAGGGTCGAGGGGCGTATGACGAATCGTCGTGGAGATCTCGGGGGGGATGTGCGCTGGCACCCCAAACTCGTCTCGTGGCATAAGGTCATACTCCAGCTCCATCTCCGGGTCGTAGCCAGGCTTGTCGTAAACAAGCGTCCACATGACCTCGAGAGGGCCTTCCGGAGACCTCTGACCTTGCGAACATGGGGAAAAACATGGTTTGACGTATGTGGCTGATTTTAATAAGAAACCTGGACAAGCATCACTGGAGCCCTAGAAACCAGCCCAACACCACGTCCTTTGGCAAGGGGTATCGGCCCTTTCACTTCAAAATGGGAAACTGAGGAGCCTCTGGACATTTCACCTACCTCAAAATGCTGTTGATTTTGGAGGAGACCCCAGTGGTCCTAGTAGCATTTGGGGGCCCTGACCAAAACATCGCCCCGAAGGGAAACTCGCCTGTCACCTGTTGATTTTGAACAAATACGCAAAAACAAGTGCTATACCCTGTGCCAGCCCCCCTGCCAGGGCGCCGGGTAGCCTGGGTTCACCGCCTGCGCTTGGTACGCGAAGCCAGGGGGAGACATCGCAGGCATATAGTGGCCATTAGGGTCCATACAAAAATCGGTAAATGGAATCAATCAAATGACTAAATTGTCATCCAAATGAACACACACGTAAGTTTTATCAATAAATGACAATGAATAAATTGACATCCAAACTGAATCACATATAAAAATGATCGATAAAACACGAAAGAATCGTGAAAAAGGCATCAGGTGCCATCAAGGGTACAGGCACAGGACATCAATAGGCCGGTACCCAGAAAGAAGCCCCAAGTTCCTGGCCGCTAAGGACCAAGAACCATGAGGGATAACCATGAAGGAACCAGTGCCTTGGGTAAGTTGTGGAACCTGGCGCTGAAATGAACAGTCGCAACTTGGTTTGAATGGTTGATCTTGGGATTGATCGAGCTTTCGGGTCCCCACGAAGTGGGGCTTCTTGCCTACACCCCGTGATTCATACCAAGGTACTACAACTGACTTATGTGCTACATATACCACTCTACACAGACTGCAAGGCCTCCTGAGGACCAGGGTCCGCGAGGAACCTGCACCCAAACTAATGCAAAGAATCGAAAGGGCGGCTACACCTTTGGTTGGGACTGATCCTTGTCAGCTTCATCTACCCAGGTTTTGATTGCCTCTCAATTGTTGACTGGGACCCTTCCAAAAACACAAAACCTCCTGACAAAGAGGCTGAGTTTCAGATTGGCGCAACATGGCTATGAAGCAGAATGACTGAAACAGCAAACCCCCCAGGCGAGCCCGCTATATAAAATAGGCAACAAATGGCAACAGGCAACTCCCATGACACTTCGGGGAAATCCGCCTGGTTGAAGCAGGGGCTCGCCAGGTGTAGCTGCCGCCGGCCCAGCCATGGCAAACGTAGCGCCTGAGGCGAGAGCGTGGATCCCATCGAGGGAACCATGCGCTGATCCGAGACATCAAGCCCCAGGACTCTCGGGTAAAACGAGTGCTCCCTCTCTTGCCTCCCTTTGGCTCCGTCCCATGGCTCCCCTGAACACAGACCCATGTGGATCAACCGTTTTGGTAGCATTGGGCATGTTCGAGCAACTCGCTTCACACAAGTGAAGGTTCACTTACCGAGGTGCCCCGTGCCTGGAAAGGCAGGAAAAGACTTGGAACCCTTTTCGGGCAGCTTCCACATTTAGAGGGCAAGCCACACCAAAAATGAGAATATTCATCTGCTGAACAACTGGGCGTGAGAAATGTCGACCCAGGAAAACAAAAAAACGGGTCCATTCTATGCTTGGAGGGAAAGCATCTGGGGTGTTTAACTCACTCTCCTGAGCGGGTGGTTGCGGCAGGCTCACTCCACCCGCGCCTGCGCAGCACGCCGCGCGGTGATCGCAGCCATCGCGCTGCGCCCAGCTCAAGCACGCAGCTGAGCCAAGTACAGAGACCGGATCCGACGGTAGTTGATATGAAGGGGGGCTGCCCGGCTGCCCATTCAGAAAAAAGACAAAAAACCGCAATCCATTCATGGCCTGGGCTGAGAAGGCAGGCAATTCTACAGGACAGCCTGCCCCCAAATTCTCCCTGCACGACAACAATGAGCCCGGAATGAAGGCACCTAGGCATAGTGTCAGCAAACTCCGCGAACCAAAGCTTGCTAAGTCAACAGGTAAGTGCTGCTGCGGCATAGTTAACTCCTCGAACTGGATCATGCTCCTTGAAACGAGGAATGGCCCAGTAAAATAGCCAGCTGAAACGAAAATGGCAAAGCCCTCACGGCAGTTTCCAATACGTTCCAATACTGATTCAAAGCCAATTTGCAAGGGGAAGGCACGGGAAGGCCATGGTCCTCAAAGCTCTCATATGGTCCTCAAAGTGTCACAAGGCTGCAATGCTTCCTCTTGCCAGCTCGCCAGTCTTTCCCACTCACGCAGACTGCGGCATGTGGTCTGTGTGCAAGGCTGCACCAAAAAGGCGCCGGGTGGCCAAATCTAAGATGGCCAGCCCGCGAAAGCACAACACGGCACCCCCGCTGGACAAGGGGTTGGGACCCGCAAAGAGCCAAAATGTCAAAGCTAAGCCGTCTTCAAAAGATAGACCAAGAAGTCGCGCACACAAATCAAATACCAATGCCAGCTTTGAACACCGTAGCAAACTTTCGGTCGGTGGGGCCAATGAGTGACCGGTGCCACTCACAAGTATTGATTCAAACCTAGCATCAAACGCACACACACACACACTGAGAAGGTTCCCATCTTTCCCCTTCGAACACTACACCACAAGAAGAACCACTCACTTAAAACTCGCCAAAACAAAAGGGGGGCCCTGTCGCTTTTGTTTTCCGACCTCCATTGTATTTCTTGGCTTCAGGCCTACAGAAACAGGTTGGAGTGGAAGAAAGGGTCCCCAACTTTCTAAACGACCAACAATACAAGTGTAGAGAGTCCTGACTCATCGAAGAACCGTTCAGGATGGAGCCTTGATCAATACTCCCCTGCAAGGTGTTTGTTTGCTTCAAAGGGAACCAAACCCCACCCAACAAAAGCAAATAAATGTTACCGTCGGAAAGCTGGGATGGAATGCACTGGTTTGTTTGACAGAAATTCAATTGTCAAGCCATGACAGTCGCAATCCAAACCTGGAATCAACGGCTCAAGAATGACAAGCCAGCCTTCAATCTTGATACACAATGGCTACATCGGGACTTCCAAGATGGAGGGCTGTGTGTCTGTGGTGACTGCAAGCTCACCCCTGCCTGGCTCTCCCAGTGCGATCGCCAGGCCCTGTTTTTCTTTTTCCAGCGACTCCGAGCGCAAACGACTCTGCCGTGCATGCATCAAAAGTCGAGAGGCCCCTTCAAACGGCAGCTTAGGTGGGAAGACAACAACTTGAATAGGATTAGTGGGTTGCAAAGAAGTCAGCCAGCATGACCTTAGCTTCCTGCATACCATTGCCGTTGAGTAACGCTGCCACGTCCCCGACTAGGTCAAGACTGGGATTTGAAAGCCAAAATAGACGGCATGACGGTACCATATCCGGGTCGTGCCCCCACAACCACTGCAACCTAGTGTGTCTGGCAAATCATCTTGCGCGTTGCTTTCCGGTGTACTGTATCATCTAAAGTTAGCTGTCCATGATATGCGTACATTTAAGTGAATATATATATATATATATATATTTATTATGGATTCATAGACAGTTGTACAACAACATGCAACGAACTGATAGTATACGCATGCAAACATGTAGGTGCTCATTGGTGAATCAGTGTTTGGATGGACTTCACTCTGGCTTGACTGTGACTAGCCGAAAACAAGTGACATCAAGTGACTCATCTTAGATTACAACCCCCTGTCAGCAATCGTCAAGCGAGCAAACCGCGGGGACTGAGCAAGCACAGTCGTTCAAAGCTGTCAAAGTTGGCAGTGGTCCGATGGCTGACTCACTTCCCGAGTGGGTTGGCCAAGGAAAAGTCTCAACATTGTATTTGCGACATAGATGGTCTTCTCAACGAGTATGAACCCAGACACTCAGGGAGTAAGATGAGCAAGTCGAACAGCTCATCCATGGCCCTATAGAAATGACGTTTGAAGGCTGCAACTCAATTGAATTTATTGGGTGCCACGTCGCCACACCCAGCCAACGCTCCGCCGCGTCCCGTAACTGCGCATGGGCGAGCATGGGCAAACACCATGTAATGCCTTCGTTGTGCAACCGCCCCTGCACAAACCAGTCAATGCTGGTACTAATGTCAGTTCCTCATTTCCCCTTGTGGCGTCCTTTCCGGGAACATGACTCCGGGTTGCTTTGAACACATTGTATGCACCCACGCCACGCCGCCACGCGCATGCGTGTTGCGGACGCGTTGGCTCCTATACTCATGCTGTAGGAGAGAAGCACAGGCCCCCTTCCACCCCCAGGATAGGCTCGTGGAACTTCCTTCGAAGATCTTATTGCAAAGGTTCTGAGAACCTTCCTGGGGGGCAGGCAGGTCCTCTCTGCTTCTGTTGCAACGCTGAGCTGCCCGCAAACATGGCCTTTCGGAATCATCGCGCAAGATGCGCCTGGGCATCTGACATAGCAGGTATGGGTTTAAACCGAATGTATCATGTTGTTGCCACTCAAGCATGACACAAAAACACCCAACACATGCCAAAGAGTTCATGATTTAAACATTGTTTTTAGAGACTGAAACGAGCATCCCCTATGATACTTGGACTCAAGTGGATGTGTTAGAAAGGGCTCTAGAGGATTTTGAGTCAGCAAGCTGAAGCAGACTGGATCAGCCATCAAGCTTGAAATGTGTTGGACCGGCCAAATGTAGTCACTCGGCATCACGAAGCAGGTAGCAAGCGTTCAGTAAACACGAAAGGATGAAAGCTTCAATAGGCGGCCTCAACATAAAACACCAATCGTTGCTTCCAGATTTAGCCAATTTGCTATCTATTTAACTTATGTGAAGAGGCACGATTGGCCACAATAGTCTAGGCTTCCCTCCGAAAACCCCAAAAAGTATAGCCTCGCCCAAATGACGTCCAGAAAGGCCTCGCCGGGAAGCTCGGGTGTCTGCCGCCGCCGCGTCAGGAAAAGGTCGGGGAACGCGGGCTGTTTGGGCGTTCCGGAATGGGCGTTCCGTCCCATGAGCCAGAAGAAAAGGCACGGCGCATTGCGCGCGAAAATGCTCAGTAGACCTTTCCAACCGCGAAGCAGAACAAACGAAATGATTAGCTGGCCAAAGCGAGGTGCTACAGCAATTGAACTAATATCTTCATATCAGTGTTAATTGCATGACTAGCTCGAGCTTAACGTCCATGGCCGTACTCATGTCCAAGTCTTGCTTGGCTAGTTTACTTGCATAGGAAATCGCCCACCATCTGCCAGAAAGCCCAACTCGAGCGCCAAACACTTAACTTGTCGAGTGAGAAGGCGAATTGAAAGCGACAAATTGCATTCGAGCTGCTTTGCGCTGTTCACTGCTCCGTGCTCTGCAGGTGCCCGCCAAACCACATGAGTGGTGATGTCAAAACTTGTGAGAAAAACACCCAAACTGTAGACTACTGTTTTTTTGACCAAACGTCACATGCCGACTCTTGGCAGTTGCCAAAAATGATCCCCATGCACCAACGCCTAGTTTTGAGCAAAGGGCAATGCACACAGCTCAGCGCCTCTATACGCTGGCCTTGTCGGATGCATAGCACCCAGTGCCGAGTGTTCAAACACACCAGCCGTGGCGGGGGCATGTCGTGTGGAAACTGCAATGTCCGAACGGATGTCCATGGATCCAACTGTCTCTGTGAGATCCTGACCGAAGAAGGACACTCTAATCATCATAGATCTCCAAGGGCGCTCTCGAAATGAAAGGTCTTGGAATAGGGGGGTCATCCTTGGCCTGTTCTGCTCACATGTAAACGCTTCGCAAATTGGAGTAGGCATTGTTCGGCATCAGGTTTGCAACATCGATAAGGGACTGCCATTCCCTGTGTCCGAGCCCCTGCTTGGGAAATGGATCAAAGCAGAAACTCAATAACTTCAGAGGCGTCCAGTGGGGCTTCGTGAAACTTTCGCCACTGGGCAAATGACAAAGCGGCTGCGACGACATAAGACGAAACCACGCGTTTGAACAGCATATCGTACTTCCACATGGATACAATCAAATTTCATTTGCAGGAATTTGGAATGCTGCCCAGTTGATGAACTTCGGTTGCCTTGCTTCGATGGAGTCTAGTCCAGGAGTTCGGGCATCGCTCGACTGCACTCCTGCCTCGTACTGTGTCCCTTTGCACCATAAGCTCAGCCACAGCCGTGGGTGGGTGTGGATGAGTATTAGCGCGCTGGATCGAATGCTGTCGGAGGCAATTTGTCCAAATCATTCGGAGGAATTGAATGACATGATCCCTGGGACTCCTAGTTGCAATTGCGGGAGGTAAATTGCAAGTGGCGTGTGTCGTTGGATAATCGGATACCTTCTGTAAAGACAACCAGAAGCATTGCGGATGGTAACAGGTTGAACGGTGGAAAGCGGGAGGGGTCAGTGTCTGCTATGGGGTGACAGGGTGCCTCAAATTGATTAAACCGAAGGAACGCGACAGGATGCCTACGTAGTGAGCCATTGGCTAAGAGCTATCAGGGATCTAACAGTGTTGCCTGCAAAGGCAACCCTTGCATTTGCATGTCAATGATCAGGGCGCCTCTTTGCGTAGGGCAGTTTTGTTGCACATACCGCCAGGTGCTTCCTCCACATTTGGGTAGCAACTCCGAGGTGCCAATTTTCACTAGACCCCTGCTTAAAGCCCCCCATTCATCCGCCGGGGCTGACATGGGACGACCTCAAGACCGACGTCAAAACCCATCCAGAAATTAGGGTAGATGCCACAGGCCACGCCGATGTTCCTGCCTGATCTGATCATCTGTTTAAGGCCTTCAGGAAAACACATG